CCCCTATTTTACTGCTTGACTGTTTGTTACAGTACTCATCACTATCTGAAATTGTGTGTATTTTTTAAACTTGTTTTTTGTCTTCGTTCCGCACTAGAGCTCAAGGACCTTGTCTGGCTTATTCATCCCTATCTATATCCCTAGCTAGAACTGGACCTGACACACATTACTATTGTTGCTAGGCGCCATGGAGTCATTTCCAACTCATAGTTACCCTATATGACAGAGTAGAACTGCCCCATAGGGTTTTCCAGGCTGTAATCTTTACGGAAGTAGATCACCAGGTCTTTCCACTGTGGAGCAACTGGGTGGGTTTGAATCCTCAACCTTTTGTTAGCAGCTGAGCACTGAACTGTCTATGTCACTAGGGCCTGGCACATATTAAATACTGAATAAGAATTTGTTGAATGAATGGGAGAATCACATACAAAATACTCATAATTCCTCTCTTAAGATATAGAACTTGGCTGCTAACCAAAAGGTTAGCTCCTTGGAAACCCTATGCGGCAGTTCTACTCTGTCCTGTAGAGTCGCTGAGTCAGAATTGACTCGACTACAACGGGTTTTCTTTTTTCTTTTGGTTACCTGGCCCTGGCAATGACATATAGAGTCTGCCCCATAGGGTAGAGGACTCAGATTAGCAATTCAATTTTCATTCAATCAGAGGAAAAAAAAAAAAGAGGACTAATACCTATGGAGTACCATAATGGGCCCTACACAACAATCCATCTCAATTAGTGCTTCTAACAATTCTATGAGATCTATCATCCCCATCTTACAGATACAGGAACCAAGGAGGAGGACCAAAACTCGTTGGCATTGAGTTGATTCCGACTCATAGCAACCCTATAGGACAGAGAACTGCCCCATATGGTATCCAAGGAGTGGCTGGTGGATTTGAACCGCTGACCTTCTGGTTAGCAGCCTGAGCTCTTAACCACTGCACCACCAGGGAGAAGGAGGTGGTGGAGGAGAATGATGATGATGATGATGGTGGTTAAGTAATCTCCTCTCCCCATAGCCACAAATATACTATTAAGTGGTGGAACTTCTGGGATTTGAACCCAAATCTGTCTGACTCCAGATCCAAGCTCTTTCCACTATACTACAGGACTCCTTAATAAGGGTGAGAGACTTAACCCAGCTGTACAATTATGTCTACATAGTACATTAAAGTGGAGACACAAAGACGAATAAGGTGTTAAGGAGTTCACAAACTAAACAACCACAACTACATGCAAAGTGCCACGTCAAAGAGGATGTAACAGAATGTATGATCCACTGCCGTCGAGTCAATTCTGACTCAGTGACCATACAGGACACAGTAAAACTGTCCCATAGGGTTTCCAAGGCTGTAAATCTTTACAGAAGCAGACTGCCCCATCTTTCTCCCATGGAGCAGCTGGTGGGTCCGAACTGTCGACCTTTCAGTTGTCAGCCGAGTGCTCAACCACTGCACGGCCAGGGCACCAGTTGTAGCATATAGGAGGGGCTAAAGGCAAAGACTGATCCAGGTGGAGAGAACATTATATTCAAAGAATTAGAAGATGTTCAGTATGGCTAGAGTAGGCAGTAGGAAGAAGGAAGTGAAGAGGAAGGAAGAGAAAAAGACCAGAGATGAGGCTAGGACAGTGTCCATTCATGTGTTCATTCACTCCTCACGCTGAAATCCTGTTATGGATTAGAAACTATATTCGAAACAAGCATTGCAATGATGGATGAGACACAGTCTCTACTTCAAGGAGTTTACAGTCTATCTGAGGAGATGGGCAAACACCCAACTACAACACAGAGTGATATATGATAACACAGGTGTATTCACTGGGTAAACCTGTTCCTAGACAGGAACTAGATGTTCCTAGACAGGAAGAAGGTCAATCAGCCAGGTTAATCAAGGCACTACATTCACGGAGATCCTTCTAAGGGAAACTGCCTTAGTCAGCTGTAACCCATTGCCATCGAGTCAATTCCAACTCATAGTAACCCTGCAGGACACAGCAGAACTGCCCATAGGGTTTCCAAGGCTATAATTTTTATGGCAGCGAACTGCCACATCTTTCTCCTGCAGAGCAGCTGGTAGGTTCAAATCACTGACCTTTTGGTTAGTAGCCGAGTGCTTAACCATTGTGCCACCAGGGCTCCTATTTACAGCAACCACTAAATGCCAAGTCCAGTTGGCCAGGTTTTGTACAACAGGAAGTCCCCAGTTCTCCTCCCACCTCAACCCAAACCACAGCTGGTTGAATCGGGGTGGGCGTTTGACCAAAGAAAAGACAATCCACAGGCTGATCAGAGACCCAGGAGGTGGCCTGGAATATAGAAAGGAGCTGAACCAATCAGATTCTTGCACTCAGGAGTTGCAATGATAGAGAAAATCTGGAGGCAGAGTGGTCAAATTTAAGCTTACTTAGGAAGCAGAGGAGTCCCTAGGTGGTGCAAACAGTTAACGCGCTCAGATGCGAATGAAAAGATTGGAGGTTCCAGTCCACCCAGAGATGTCTTGGAAGAAAGGCCTGATGATCTACTTCCAAAACAATCAGCCACTGAAAACCCTATGGAGTTCAGTTCTACTCTGACTCGTATGGATGGGGTCGTCATGAGTTAGAATCAACTCAACAGTGACTGCTTTTTTTTTTTTTTTTAAATAAGGTAGTAGAAACTAAGTGAGCAGACACTTTGAAAAAGATTGCAAACTGTGTTAAAGGCTGGATCTAGCCCACAAATGTGTTCTGTGGCCTGTACAGTATGTGAATTTTTTTAAAATTATACCCAGCTTGTGGTCTCTAAATATCATCCCTCACAAAAAGGAACCAGAACTTCCTGGAGGACCAGCTGCTTCCAGGTCAGGGGATGGACATATACAAGATGAACTTGGGATACCTTGTGCCAGAAAACAAGAAAGCTATCAATGGCTAGTGGGATTACGTCAAAAGTACACAGGGGCCAATATGAAGGAGCCAAAGGGACAATTTGAGCATAACGAATGAATGCAATTGACTGAAACACAATGATTGTGAAAATCAAAAATAACAAAAAATGAATTCATTATAATACTAAAAACCAAAATCTTCTTTGGGCAACACTGGAAACAACCAATTGTTGTTTACTCTGAAAACTGTCAATTAAAAAGAATAAATTCTGCATTTATCCTGCTTTTCCTACATGAACTGTAAATTTCAGGGAAATAAAACGGCCTTCGTTAATGAATTCTTTTATTTTTCCTCTTTTTTTTTTATTGCGGTGAAAAGATACACACCAAAATATCCACCAACACAACTTCCACATTCACAACTCAATGACATTGATTACATTTTTCAGTTAATGAATTCTTTACAGAATAATTCCAGTAATATATACGGAAAGAATAACAGAATTAGAAAATTATCATTTTACAAACTTAATGAAAAATTAATTTCAGACAACAATCGTCATTGGATCAATTCATAAATGAAAGACTGATGGAAGTTTTACAACAGTAGGCGGAATAACGGCTGCCCAAAGATATCAACATCCTCATCTCTAGAACCTAGGAATATGTTACTGTACATGGCAAAAGGAATTTTCCAGACATGATTTAACGGAGGATCTTAAAATAGGGAGATTACCCTAGATTATCTGGTCTCAATGTAATCACTAGGGTCCTTATAAGGGAAAGTGGGAGGCAGGAGAGTCAGAGAAGGAGACGTGATGATGGAAGGCGAGGTCAGAGAGAGATATGAAGATGCTACACTGCTGGCTTTGAACATGGAGGAAAAGGCCATGAGCTTGGCTGCTAACCGAAAGGTTGGAGGTTCGAGTCCACCCAGAGTCACTGGAGATCTACTTCCAGAAAATCAGCTATTGAAAACCCTATGGAATACAGTTCTACTATTATACACAAGACTGCCAACTGACTCAATCAGTTCTAGCTAACTCAATTGACAATTGGTTTGGTTCTGGGTCCCCCAGATCTTAAACATAAATTATGGTTATACTTGGGGCTCTATTTAAAAGTAAAAACATTTCTATTTACTTTAAGAAAAGGCTCATTCTGTTAAAAAAAAAAAAAAAATCTACTGAACTTATTGTGAATGAATGAATTACCTGAAAAATCAATCAAATCTTGAGACTGGTATCAAATTATATCAACAATTAAAAGAGCAGGCCAGGCTACCCTAACTGCAAATGGAACCAAATCGGCTTTAGGGTAGCAGCTGTCATCATCCAAGAGTACAGATGAGATTTAGATAAAACTTAGACAAGTCCAGGCTCTAGGTACCAAAGAGAAAGTATTAGAGACCGAGGCCATTTTGTGACCAATTAATTGACTATAATCAGTCACGGGAATTACAAATTAAAGCAAGGATATAATAAAATTACAACACTTTTCCCTCAACATACTAACTCCCAAACTGGAAATCAATTCCGTCTCTTAATACTTACGAGTTTATTCCACTTATCTGAGCCTCAATTTCATCTTGAGCAAAATAGGGCCAACAGTACCTACTTCGTAGGGTGGTGTACGAACTAAATGCTACTTTATGTAAAGTAACACAGGACCTGACACACAGCAGATGCTCAATAAATAATAGGTTTTATTATTCACAGCAGGCTTCAGTGCCTATTACTTTCCTGCATGTATGAGTGTCTGCCGATGCCAGTCGCTCCCTGCAAATACTCAACATCCAAATACTTCTTTGAAGAATCAAGATGCAACTCCAGGTACTTCGGACTACAAACACAGGACCCGGGTAACGGCCGAAACAAAGTCGAGGCCGCCCCAGCTCAGCTGTCACCACATCTGTGGCCCTTCTTTTAGTTTCCTGGCACTGGTGCCCCGCCCCGTCCTGAGAACGCCAACGAGTGGGGTGAGGAGGCGGTCTCGACCGCACGCCCTTAGCGTTCTCGAGGAGATCAGGGCACTTCCTAGGCCTCCACGGGCCCGACTCCCCCGATCCCGGACCTCCCCTCACCTACGCCTGCAGTCTTCCCTCCCGGCCCCGCGCCGCCCAGTGCCGCACCTTGAGGTGGGTGCGCAGGCCGCCAGCGCCCCCCGACTGGTCGGTGACCTCGTACGCGCCGGTCACCAGCAGGTCCTTGTGGATCTCCTCGCGGAGGCACTTGCGGGAATTAAGGGGCAGATTGAAGGAGATGGCGAGGACCGAGCTGGGGCCGAGCAAGAGCAAAAGCAACAACGCCAACGGGCAAGGGCCACGCTGGGCTAGTAGGCCAGACACACCAGACATGGTGCCAGAGACTCGTTCACCACTCGCGGCCTCAACCGCGCCGGAACCGGGAGAACCCATGTGACTCACCTCTGACCCACCAATGCCGTCGGCGCCATTTTGGAGGCTGGCAAATAAAGGATGAGTGTATAGCGAATCTTTTGGAAATCAAGAAAGGACATGGTAACATGTCGGGACCACAAAATAAAGTGGTTAAAGGAGATTTAGTAGATGTTAGCCGCAAACGTATTAATTTTGTGGAGCTTAGTGAGTTCCGAGTCGGCCATAGCAAGTACGGGCAGCCCTGGAAGTAATTCTCCTTTAACTTCCGGAAGCTATATCCGTGAGTTTTAAGGTTGGTGATACCATAGCGACCAAGCCCCAATGAGGAACAGCCACAAGGCCCTTCACTGGGGCCGCCCACTGGCCGCCTAGACGCGCAGGGTAGAGACCCGACTTGAGGCTGCGCAGCCCTGGAGTAGGGCGTTTTGCAGCCGCTCCCAGCTCCTTGACGCCTTGGTGACAGCTGGGACATTGAGACGCTTGAGACGACCTTGAGAGACAGAGAGAGAAGAAACTCTAGGAAGCTGAGCGGATTCTAATTTGGCAATTGGGCGAGAGGTCACCTGGTGAATGGGAGCTGGACAGACGTCACGTTCATGCCCTGAGCGGGGTATTTGGGCTGGAGTAACTATGTGGCTTACTGAATGTGCATTTTTTTAGCCAACATTGAGCGTCTACTATGCTAGGTTATATTCAAACTAAATTTGAGTTTTGTATCTAAATTGAATAAAACGCCGTGTTTTAGTCCAATCTGAGAGATGAATATAAATACGAGTTTACCAGATATGCACTGTCAGCACAAACAAGGTATCCAGTTGTCTAGTACATAGTAAGCAAATATCACACGGTAGTCATTCGTGCATACATTTAATGAATATTGAGTACTTACTATGTGCCAGACACTATACCATGCATGCATACCAAACATGTTTATTGATTTTACAAACCCTTCTTGTTATGCTATCAAATATTTGGGACAGAAGAAGTTATAAAGATGAATATGAATACACAACAGCCTATGTTTGGAATCATCATCTACTTTGACTAATATTTATTGAGCATCTACAGAAATACCCAGAAGATAGATTATCTACCTCAAGTAATTTACATGATCGTTCTGTATTTATAACTCCTTTCAGTCCATGTAGTTTGTTTCCTGGCACTGAAGTGCCACCAAAAAAACAAAAACAAACATAAAAGAGCTGTAAAACATTTTTCAACTTGACAAATGCCATCTAATAATTATTTTATGAGGTGTCCACTTAGGAACATTTAGTTTGATTATTTTATCCCTGATCTAAGATTGCTAGTTTGCTCAGTAGCAAAAAAAAAAAAAAAAAAAAAAACAGTTGCCTCTGAGTCAGTTTCAACTCCTGGTGGCTACTCAGTACATCCTGATAATTTGCACTGGCCTTTTCCCTGCTAAAGCAGGGAATCAGTAGGAGTGGCTATCTAAGTCTTTGTTACTCTCAGTCCTGAGGTTCTTCGGACCATTAGCTAGAGATTTGCAGCCCATCAGTTACCTGTGTGTGTTTTTTTTTTAATTTCCTTTTAACATTTATGTAATAGGTTATAGGTTTTTAAATTTTTTCATGTATATTATCTCATTTGACATTTTCAAAAACCATGTGGAATAGGCTGGACAAGACTTTGTTTTACAGATGAGGAAACTGGGTTGGTTCTGAGTCAAAAGAACTTCCATACCCTATGTCCCATAGCTTAAAAGTGACAAAGTCAGTCTGAAGTCTTGAGCCTTCTGCAGGAAGGAACTATTCTTTCTTATTTGACAGAAGAAACTGAGACCCAGAGAAGCTGAGTTACTTCCTACGTCACAGCTCTCAAATTCTTTCTTGTCCTATATTCCCGCTTATTCTCAGCCCCTAACACTTCCTGTCTCCCTTCCCTACTTTATATTTTTCTCCTTAGCATTCACTACTATCTAATGTAGCATTTTACTTTTTTATAAATAAATTAAAATATTTCATAAAATACATTTTACTTATTTATCTTCTTTATTATTCTGTCTCCTAACTAGCATAACCATTTTGTGAGGGCAGGAATTTTTGTCTATTTTGTTCCTTTATCTTAAGAACCTAAAATAGTGCCTGGCACTTAGGCACAATAAGTACTGGTTCCTTAGCTTCTACTGGAATGTCTAACAGCAAATTCCTTCCATTTTCCTTAGCTATTTTCTCACAAATGTATTTAATCCATATTGTATCTAAGTGTAGGTGCAATTTCTTTTAATTGGAATATGTGTTCTTGTTTCCATATAAAGACACGGGGGAAAAAATGCTCCCCGCATTTCAGTGGAACAAAAGGGCGGGGTAGATACCCCTAGGGAACTGAAACTTTTAAACTCTGCATCTGCATTAAAGAAGATAAACATTTTACATCTGTTTGGGAGAAAGGCCTTATTCTGAACTGGAGAATTAATGGAAAGCATCCCACTACTAGAGTAAATGCTTCTTCCCAACCCAGCAGTCCTTTGCTACAGGGGTGCCACTAAGCTTGGTGTCACCCAGTGTGGTAACTCATGGTGTCACCCCCCCCACCTTGGACCTCCTCCTGTACCAGATAATACAGATTTTTTAGTAATGTTTTTCTTACTAATGTTAACTCGTAAATCGTAATTCCCATATATCACTCCTTCTTTTCCTTTAATTGCTACTTCATTCTCAAAAAAGTTATTGATACAGGTTCATAAATACTAATTACCACAATATTATAGCTAAAACACCAAAAATTTTGACAAAATCAGCCACTATAAAAACGCCGGCAGCAACGAAAACAACAGCGTGTGCTTGTAGCACGTGCAGACGAAACCACGTGATTTGAAGCATCATTGTAATTGGGTGATAATGACAGCTCTAACTGGAGCTCATTAGAAGGGTCACAAAGTAAATTAGCATAGAGTTTTAGCCTTGTAGGTATATTGATACAAGTAAGCTGGGCTTACGAAAAATGTTTTGTTATAACTAAATACAGGGATATTTTTATAGACAGTCATCTTGGTGTCACCCTCTCTGACAGTGTCACCTGGTTTGGTCCACATTCCCCTCAGTGATGCCACTGCTCTGCCATCCTGTCATCTGGAAACTTCCTGAGCCAGACCCATCTAAGATTCTTGATCCACCGGAGCCTCTGGAGGTGGACATTACCAGGACACACCCTCCACCCAGTCTATCTCTAAGCCACAGGTTTCTCAACTTTTAGTTTGTATTAGAGAGAACATGTTTAAAACACACCTCACCCTAGACAGTAAATCAGAAGCTCTTAAAACCTGCATTTGTAACAACTTTGTTGGCAATTCTGTGGCTGGGAGTCCTTGGAAGCACTTTGGCCCCCTCCTCGCACCTCGTTTCACTAGCCTAATCCTCCAGCTTGAGGCTTGAGGCTCCCCTAGCTCCAATGCAAAAGCAGTCAAGGATTCCTAACTCCCGTGTTCCTGCTCATTCATGTGTACAGTCCCACTCACAGTGTGTATTTAAATAGCTAAAACAAGATGGGAGCCCTGGTGGCATAGTGATTTAGAGCTTGGCTGCTACCCAAAAACGGCAGAGGTTCAGATCCACCAGCTGCTCCTTGGAAACCCTATGAGGTAGTTCTACTCTGTCTTATAGGGTCACTATGAGTTGGAATCAACTCGACAGCAAAGAGGTGTTTTTGTTTTTGTTTTTGTTTTTTTAAACAAGATGGGTTCTATGAAGATACAAAGGACTCTTTTGGGAGTAATTTGGCAATATTTGTCATATGTCATACCCTTTGCCCCAGGGAGTGATTCCGGGGGTTTTTTTTTTTTTCTTTCTTCTTTTTTTCTATGTGTCCTTTAAATGCTGGGGTTCCCCCCAGGACCTGGTCCCTGAGCTTCTGAGCTGCACTCTAGGTAATCTCATCCAGTCCCGTGACTTTAAATGCCATCCGTAGACCAATAACCTGCAAATATGCCTCCAACCCTGACCTCTCCCTTAAGCTCCAGAGTCTATATCGAGCTCCCTACTGGACATCTCCACTTGGATGACTAATAGGCAATGCATACTTCACTCTTGATTTCCACTCTCCCCCCACTCCCAAATCTGCTTCTTCCTCATCTCAGTAAATGGCAACACCTTCAACCCAGTCACTGAGGCAATTTTTGTTTCCTCTTTTCCTTACCTCCTCCTCACACAGCCAGTTCATCAACAAGACCTATCACTTCTGTGTCCTAAATATATGCTAATACAATATATGCTAATTTCTCTTTAAATTAAGGAGCCTGGTGGCACAGACAAGGAGCCCTGGTGGCCCAGTGTTTAAGCGCTTGTCTGCTAACCAAAAAGTTGTCTGTCTGACCCCACCAGCTGCTCATGGGAAAAAGATGTGGCAGTCTGCTTCTATAAAGATTTACAGCCTTGGAAACCCTGTGGGGCAGTTCTACTCTGTCCTATAGGGTCGCTACGAGTCAGAATTGATTTGATGGCAATGGGTTTGGTTTGGTGGTGCAATGGTTAAGCGCTTGGCTGCTAACCAAAAGGTCAGCGGTTTGAACCCACCAGCCACTCCTTGCGAGAAAGACCTGGCGATCGATCTGCTCCAGTAAAGGTTGTTGCTGCTGTTGTTAGGTGCCGTTGAGTCGGTTCTGACTCATAGCAACCCTGTGAACAGAACGAAACACTGCCCAATCTTGTGCCACCCTCACAATCATAGCTATGTTTGAACCCATCGGTTACAGCCACTGTGTCAATCCAGATCGTTAAGGGTCTTCTGCTTTTTTGCTGACTCTCTACTTTACCAGGCCTGATGTCCTTCTTCAGGGACTGGTCCCTCCTGATAACATGTCCAAAGTATGTAAGAAGAAGTCTCACCATCCTCGCTTCTAAGGAGCATTCTGTCTGTACTTCTTCCAAGACAGATTTGTTCATTCTTCTAGCAGTCCGTGGTGTATTCAATATTCTTCACCGACACCGTAATTCAAAGGCATCAATTCTTCTTCAGTTTTCTTACTCATTGTCCAGCTTTCACATGCATATGAGGTGACTGAAAAT